ACCAGCGCATCCACACAGGAGAGAGACCCTTCAAGTGTCCTGAGTGTGGGAAGCATTTCAAGTACAGTTTTGTACTGAAGCGTCACCAGCAAATGCACACAGCAGTGAGACCCTTTCAGTGCTCTGAGTGTGGGAAGGGCTTCAAATTTGCTTATCAATTACAGCACCACACACGCATCCACACAGAAAAGAGACCCTTTACATGTCCTGATTGCTCAAAGAGCTTCAAAATCAATTCCCAGCTCACCTACCACCAGAGCATCCACAGAGGAGAGAGACCCTTTAAGTGTCGTGAGTGTGAGATGAGCTTCAAATACAATTTTGTATTGAAGCGCCACCAGTCCTGAGTGTCCAAAGAGCTTCAGAACTAGTTTCCACCTCACCTGCCACCAGCACATCCACACAGGAGAGAGACCCTTTAAGCGCATGTCAGCAATTTGTGACGTGGTTTGACCCGGTTCTGTGACTGATGAAGGAGGAGGATCCACGGATCCACGCCCCAGAAAAGGGAAAATGGGAAAAGGAAAAAGGGGAAAGAGGAAAAGGGAAAAGGATAGGTAGACGGGCCTAACATCAAAACAGTGGCAGTGATCTGAGGAGGAAAGCTCATTTACTAGAAATTATATCAGAATACAAGATAACACAATATAGTACAATCTAATTGGAATTGAAGTTAATAAATCAAATAAAAGTGAGAGAGAGAGTGTTCGAAAGCTGAAGGTCTTGCTCTAATGCTGAAGGTGAGCACGCATGCTGCCAGGATGAGCAGAAAGTGAAAAAAGAGACATCTTGTGATGTGCAAACAGTTTTTATCTTTACCTCTTACCTCTGAATGGAAACAGAAAGTCCCCTGGGGCATGTAGTTCTCAGAACCAGCTACCCAGAGCAGTAACTCTGTAAATCCCAAAGCACTACACACAATCACAGAATCATAGAATGGCCTGGGTTGAGAGGGACCTCAAAGGTATGTATTTTCAAGCCTCTGCCATGGGCAGGGCACCAACCATTAGACCGGGCTGCCCAGTGCCACATCCAGCCTGGATGCAATGATGTGGAGTACTGGTAGCAAAACATCATAAAACTAGCACTCCATCCCTTATTCCACATTACTATATCATGCTCACTATCTAAATCTATACAGATTATTCTGAGTTAACATGTATTAACATGTTATTAACGTGGTAATAATTGTATTAAACGCACACACACATATATATATATATAGAATGACTGAGTACACTCTCCCAACGTCAAATTCCCTTGTGGTGCACATTGAACATCCCCTCTTTCTGCATCACCTTGAGCAAAAACAGTTCCATTGTGAAGTTTGCCCTTTCCAGAGGCTGGAAGGACCCACACTGCTTTTCCCAAGATGTTCTTTATACGTACTACAGGGACTTTATCTCCCTGTATGTTATGTATGGAGCTGGATTGGGTAGGATCATCATGATTGACCAATCCTTGAGTGTTGACCAACCACGTGGCTTCTGCCAAATGCTTCTCCCAGTGTTTAAATGTTCTGCCACCCATTGCTTTCAACACAGTTTTTAACAAGACGTATCATTTGATTTTACCAGAAGCTGGTGCATGATAGGAGATATGATAAATCCACTCAATGCCATGATCTTTGGCCCAAGTATTTACAAGAGAATTTTTGAAACGAGACCCATTATCTGACTCAATCCTTTCTGGAGTGCCATGTTGCCACAGGACTTGTTTCTCCAGACCTAATATGGTGGTCTGGGCAGTAGCATGGGGTATGTGTATGTTTCAAGCCACCCAGTGGTTACCTCCACCATGGTGAGTACATAACACTTACCGCTGTGAGATCATGGCAAGGTGATCAATCAACCTGCCACGCCTCCCCTCCGAGCTAGAAATAATTAACCCTTGTGTTGCCAGTTCAAGTCCATTTGAGCCACCTTAAGTTTAGAGGCTTAATCTACCTGATGGTTATTTTGTTGTTCTTCAGTAGCCCAGTTCTTGGGCATGTGAGCATCTATGTGACACACCTTTACAACCATATTCTTTATTTGGGCAACAACATCTTTCCACAGTTCAGCAGTTCAAATAGTTCTACCCCTTCTTTATCAGTTGTTTTGTTCCCACTGCTTTAACCACCCCCATAAGGCATTTGCCACTATCCATGAGTCACTATAAATCATTGGCCACCTCTCCCGTCCAGCAACATCTAAGGCCAGTTGAACAGTTTCTACCTCTGCAAATTGGCTTGATTCTCCTTTTCCTTTGGTGGCCCTCTCTAACTTGTCATATAGGGCTCCGCACAGCAGCTTTCCATCTGCAATGCTTCCCAACAGTACGATACAATCCATCAGAGAACAGGGCTACTTTCATTTTCTGGTAGTTCATTGTATGATGGGGTCTCTAGCACACAGTACCTCTTCTGCTGGTGATGTTCCAGACTTTTTGTCTTCATATCAGTCCATGATCACTTCTAAGGTTTGTGGGTGACTGAGGTTCCCCATTTGAGCTCGCTGTGTAATCAGTGCAATCCACTTACTCCAAGTGGCATCAGTAGCATGATGGATGGAGGGAACCTTTCCTTTAAACATCCAGTTCAGCACTGGCAGTCGAGGTGCCAGAAGGAGCTGCATTTCAATACTAACTACTTCGGAAGAGGTCCAAGCCCCAACATATGTGGCCAAGATTTTCAGTTGGAGTGTAGCACTCTTCAGACCCCCTGTATGCTCAACTCAAGAGGTTAGCCTTGGGTCTCCTGAGATTCCTTGCCACTGCCTCCAAGTGGGACCTTTCTCTCTGTCCCAAATGTAAGAAGAGCTTCTGCCACAGCTCCAGACTGAGTACCGGAGAATCCATTCACGGCAGAGACCTGGAAAGACAGAGTTTCATCCAGGGCTGCAACATTATTGAAAGTTGGCTAATCTGTGTGAGAGGTAGACCCTGCAAGTGTCTCACCTGCAGGAGGAGTTTCTTTGAGGGCTGGCACCTCTTTGCTCATGGGAAAACCCCCACTGGAGAGATCCCGAGGATGATAGAGACCAAAGGATCATGGAAACCCAAACGCTTCCCACCATACAGAAAGAGTTTGGAAAAAAAGTGGCATCACTGGCACTCTGTCTGGAAAAGGGACTTATACCTGGGAGCTTCTGATGGTTTCTTTCCCTGTTAATAGAATAAAATCTCTCCCCATGCCCAGTTTTCTGCTCTTCCTGTAAGCAGCTTTTTGAAGCCATTTCTTAAGGAAGTTCAGCTGCGTAAGGATGTCCTGTGTGCATGTGTTCTCAGTAATTTTGGAGTCCACTGATGAATCATGTACAAGGGTCAGGAGAGCAGTCAAATGTCTCTTGGAGATTTAGAAAAAACGACCTGCATTCAGAAGAGGTCATCCTACCTGCAAGCTTTCACAGAGCAACCAGCCAATCCCTTCATCCTTGTGTTAGACCTCCGACAAGTCATGTGGAAGAGACCAGCCTTGGAAGTTAAGCTTGGTTTGCTCTGCTCCTCATACTCCTGATCACTGCATCCCTTCTGTGGCAAATGGCCTTTCTGTGCGGTGTGAAAGGGGACGGGGAAGGAGAATAAAGTAGCTGAGTTGTCCTGGAGCTTTTGTTTTCATTATGCTCTGGCCCTACTTTCTCCAATAAAAGACAAAGCGTTGAAGGACTGGGGAAGGTGGGAGAAGGTCAGACTCCAGATCCCTGCATGCTTCTGGGGGAAAACATGTTTGGCACAAGGCCCCATCTCCATTCCTAACATGCGCATAGGAGGTTGTGCAGGGAGGGCTTTGTCACTCAGCCAGTTCAACCAGCAGTTGTATTCACCCAGCAGAAATGTACGTCCTCTGTGTAACACGCAACCTCTGCACAGCCCAGAACTGGTGCAGCCTCACACACAGAGCTCCCCAGTAAACAAGCAGCTCTCCAGGTCTCCATCTGCATGGTTGTTATGCATTATTGTTTTTCTGGTCTTGGTGTCCATCCAAAGTTGGAGGCACAGCATGTTGATGAAGCATCTGGATCTGCTCCACATGGAGTTGGGCAGACTGGAGCACAATATAAATGTTTCTATAGCATTGCACATAGTATGAGGTGTAAGCAGGAGGAGCTAGAAGCTTTTAGCTTGGTCCTGGAGTTACAACATCATCAGCATAAGCAAGGTGTGATGGGAAAGGTTTTATGAAATGCATGCTGTGTGCACTGGATGGCTCCGGGCTCTCCAGGATAGGCAGGGCAGGTGAAACAGGATGGTGTTGCTGTATGTACTGGTGGGCTGGAATGCATGGAGCTTGCTGTTCCCAATGACATGGCTGTGAGACTCCAAATAAGGTTTAAGGGGCAAGGCAGTAAGGTGAGAGTCTGCTATAGGCCACCCAGCCAGGAGAATGATCCCAATTAATTGTTCCTAGGAAGTGTGAGAGAACAGTGAGGTGGATTGTGATCTGATTGACTGGCAGAGCTCAGAGGGTTGTGATTATTGGTTCAGAATCTGATTGGACGCCTGTAACTAGCAGTGTTTCCCAGGAGTCCAATCTTGTTCAACATCTTCATCAGTGATCTGGAGGAAGGGATAAAGTGCACCCTCAACAAGTACAATGCTGGGAGGAGTGGCTGACATACCAGTAATCTGTGCTGCCATTCATTCAACAAGATGTGAACAGAATGGTCAGTTGGGCAGACAAGAACGTGATGAATTGCAACAGGAGGAAATATAGGAAGGGGGAGGAAAAATTGCCTTCAGCCATACAGGCTAGGGTTGACCTACTGGAGAGGAGCTTCCCAGCAAGTTTGGAGCTGGGGAGCAAGGGGCAGTGAACAGCAGGGCCATGCAGCATCATTCGTCTGCAGACAGAGCACAGCTTTGCAGGACTGCCTCTGACATTTCGTCCCCACTATGGCCACGTCCCACTGCTGAGCTCCATGGGTGTCCCTACAGATCCTTGGGCCACCAAAGAGTGTCTGAGTTGGAATGAGGACACTGCAACAGGAACACTGGGTGATCATGAGGTGTCACAGCCAAAACACAACACAATCATGAGGTGACTGTGGATAAGAATGTGGTGACAAATAGGTCAGGGATCAGAAGGAGAAAGTCTGGCCAATGAGAGGTGAGCACGAGTAATCGTGTGGGTCACATGGGGCAAAGATGGTGTTGTGATGGGTGATGGGGTGACAAAGAGAAGACCACTGGGTGACCACGTGGGCTGTCATTGGGTGACCACTGTAAGGAAGGGGAAGGACCACGGAGTCAACACTTCAGCGAGTTCTAATTGAGAAGGGGACAGAGCAGGCTCTGCAGCGGCAGCAGGGAACGCGGTGACAACACAAAGGGAAACTCTAGCTCCTGGCTGGGAAGTGCAGGACATGCTGGTGGAGCAGCAGTGTGGGGCAGCTCGTAATTCAGGATCCCTGCAGGGAAAGGGAGGACCAGAGTGGTTTTCGGGCTCCTCTGAGTACAGTGATGTCACTGTGGGAATGAGTAATTACCTGGAGAAATTACCAGAAACTGAGCAAGACAAAGTCAGCTTGGTCACAGCTCAACACCACTGCATCCCCCAGCACAGCCCCAGCTGCTCCTGCTCACCTCCGAGAGCACTGAGACTCTGGTG